CCTTTTATCAGTTTTTCATTTTTTTCGATTACGACTTTTAAGTTGTTCTGAACAGCGACAAAAATACATTTTTCGTCCCTCCCACTTAATTTTTATTTCCAAACACAGACAAAATGGTGTCGAATATTTCCTATATTTACTGCTATTACATAACAGGATGCTTTTTTTCAAAAACAAAATATTACATTCATATAAACATATTAAAGTGTATTTATTTTAAACTTAATAAAAAACAATTGCCAAGTTGGCATTGACAAGAAGAAAAACCAGAAGAAGAAAACAAAAAGAATAAATAAAAAATATCGTGTCTCTCCATAATTTGCACCACCGACAGTCACTCGCTCGCACGCCTCACGGTAGGGGAGCATTGCTAATGGTGCTCATCATAAATCGTAATTGGTGTTGTAATAGAAAAATAGGCACATCGATAGCTTTTTTCCGGGGCAAATACCAAACTGACACCAAGCAGCTATACACGGCACAACACCAACAACAATATCACTTGTATCGTTGTTTTGCTTTTTGGAGAAGAACCAGTTACCTTTTTTATTGAATTGAATTGAAAAACTAAAACAAAACCAGTCCAAACTATGTTTCAGCTGCTGCACATAGCTTTAGTAACGACAATCTACACCACTGCATTGGTAACAACAACAACACCAACATTGGCATTAAATGTTGATTCTGAAGGATTCCATGTGGTGGCCACTGGCCAACTAACATTGTTGTTGTTGTTCTCGTTGTCGCCATCCACAATTTTCCTATCGCCCAGAAACAAGAATCATTCATTGATAGGCGTTCAATACCGGTAAACAGCTTAGCTACAGATTGAAAAGTGTCTTAACTCTGGAAATTTTATGCCAGCAGCGTAAATTGCAGAACGTCGTTGCCATCACCATGTCGGTCGGTCGGCCAGCAATTGTGTCCGATAGATAACTTGCAAAACTTGTCAATAAAATCTTGTCCATTCTTTTTAACACATGCTTACGGCTGCTGCGGTTGTTGTTGTTTCTGTATTTTAGCTATGTGCTTCTTATCCCCTGTACTCGCAAACATAATTTCCAAACACACACACATTTAGATTTTGATATTATCTGAGATCTGCATCAAATTCGTCACATCTGAGCGAGCAGCAGTAAGCACAGTGTTTAGATTTAAGATGAAGGCCCGATTAACTTCTTTTTAGTAGGTATTCTGAGCGTTCAAGACCCTGTAGGCTTTCAGGCTGTAGAAGAGCCTCGGATTGTCTTATGTCAGTAAAACAACAGTAAGCACAGTGCTTATATTTAGGTATATACTTCAGATTAATGTAGAAGTCTCTCAAAATCTTTTTTGTCCGTAGAATACCTCCAGGAGCTCGTCTATCTGTAGAAGCCCTCAAAAGGCCAGGCAGATAACTGCGGGAGACTCTTAGAAGGCATTCAAACAGTAGAAGACCATCAGAATATCCTAGGTTTGTAAATGACTATCAGAAGGCCTTTGGTCTGTAAAACATCCTCACAAGGTCTTCTGTCCGAAAAAAATCTACCGTAGAAGCTCGTCTATCTTTAGAAGGTTTTCAAGTTGTAGAAGACCATCAGAATGTCTCACATTTTTAAAAAGGCTATCAACGGCCTTTGGCTGTAAAAGATCCTCACAAGGTATTCGGTCAGTAAAATGCAACCAAAAGTACTTCTGTCTATAAACTACCCTCAGAAGGTCTTCAGTCCAGAAAACCCCCCTTAGAAGGTCTTCTATCTATAAAAAGCCCCAGAAGTTTTTCTCCCAGAAAAAAAACTTCGTAATGGCTTCTGTCTGTATAAGACCCTGAAAAGTGAAATCCTCAATGTGGACGACCCCATAAAGTATTTTGAAAATATAACATTCTCAGAGATTCTTTTGTACCCAAACTGTTATTCTACGACATATTCTGTCTGTAGAATAACCTTAGAAGGCTTTCTGTCTATAGAATACAGTAAATATGGTTTCTGCCTGTAGGATACAATCAAAGGTTCTATGTCTATAGACGTTCCTGACAATGTTTTCTGTCTCTAGCAGACCCTCTCAAGGCCTTCTGTCTATAATAGATTCTCAACAAGTATTCTGTCTATAGAACATTCTGACAATGTTTTAGTGTGTAAAAGCCCCACGAGAAACAAGCCGATTTATTGATTTATTTTTATAGGATATCTTTAGAAGCCCCTCTACCAGTAGAAGACCTTCTCAAGGTCTTCTGAAAGCCTAAGACCTGCAAAATGTTTTCATCTAGAGATATGTTTTCATATTTTCTCATTTTATCTTCTCCAAACCACTGTCCATTTCTTTACAAAATATTATCGCTGCCATGCATTTACCTTACCTCACTTCAACCTTGCTTTGCCTTTTTTTCCGGAAAACAAGTGTGACAAGCGCAACGCGCATTTATGATCTTGAACAAGTAAAAATGCATTGAGATCATCGCGCAAATGTTATGGGGATGCGATGAGTAGCCGCTTGGAGACAACACCGCCGACATAGCCACCATTTTCTAATCGATGTCGTCTATGACGTTGACAGCAACGATGGAGCCAATCGATGATGATGATGGCGGTCGGGCAGACAGGCTGTGGCAGTCAACTGATAGGTTGCAATGTGATGTTTTTGTAATTTGTAATCGATAATGTTTTGTTGATGCAGCGTGTTTCGTTAAGAGCCATTTAATTCGTTAGATACAAATTTACCGCTATCTGGTAGGAACATTTTTGTGTGCAAGAGGAGGTTTTGATGGCGATGATGATGATTTTTAATCGAGCACGTCTCATGTGGGTTGTTCACTTAGTTGTTGTAACTAATTTTCTCGGTATTGATGATTACCATCGTGAATGGTTGGTTGCTTGGTGGCACAGGTTAATTTTAATATTATATCATAGAAAAACACCTGACATTATGCAAAACAAATTGTGCCGTTATGCTTTGGTATTCGGGAAGGAAAGAATAGCATTGGGCAAATTTTAGGCCAGCAAATCATATTAGAAACACAGAAAAAATTCGATCCGATATTGCAAATATTCAATACTCTTCCGAATGAATTGTTGAATGTTGAGAATTGTTGAATGTTTCTACTACATATTTGAAATGCCGTGAAACTTATTTCAATTACTGATGTTGGCAACTCGACTTTGTATAAGATGCCAGTTGGTTGTCGTCTTAGCTAAATGTATTGGCAGCACTTACTAACTGTACAAATATTTACCACTATTATTTTTAAGAGTTGCCCATTCATATTTCTTTTTTCGACCAATAGGGCCTTATTTTATCCTCAGTCATGTGGTCGAGTGAATTTTCAATTTGTCTTTCGGTTGCAAAACTTTGAAATATTCGTCGGATGCCCCTATAATATTCTTGATCAAAATCAAATTCATTGTCGGTTTCGTCAAGCCTGCCTGAAAAAATTACGTTAGAGAATAGAACAGATTTTTGAAATTTTTCACACACTTTTAGGATTTGTAAACCCTCAGCTTTGCGATAATGAGGGTATATCAACTTTACTACTGCCAAAAAGCGCCTCATCGAAATATTGGTTTTAGAACCCATGTTTCTTTGAACAAAATCCGTTTCAGACTGGTGCGCATGATAACTCTCGAAGGGTCCGATTTCATCCAAACTTTGTTCATCGTAATATTTCTTCCAAACATAGTTCAAACTCGAAGATGGGTCCCATTAGCCCAGTCCCCACAAAATGGTCAAAATTGTGCTAAAAATTATATTTTATAATATCATCCGAAGGGACTATCGGATTTGAACAAAATTTCGTACAACCTATTATATATTCAAGTCTAGATCAAGTTCGAAGATGGGAGCCATCGGTCTACTCTTTCTGGTACCTCCCCCACAAATGGTCAAAATTTTCAATATTTATAAATCCAATATCAGACGAATGGAATGACCGAATTGAACCAAATTTTGCACAACCTATTATTACCAAGCCTAGATCAGGTGAATATCTAAGGCTATTGTAGCTTTTGTATCGGCGAAGTAATAAAGCAATATGCGGAGTACTTTTGATTAGAATCGACTACAAAAATAAATTATTGTATAATGAATATAACTTGCGGATTCTGCGGATTCTTCACAATTAGTAGTTCTTCCTCGCATAATATTCTATGCAGGACTTAGAATTTTCCCATTAAATTACAACGTTCAATTAAAAATTTTAATTAGACACATTTGAGACTACAGAACAACTTGTAAAAACCACATTTGTCTGCAGTCAGGTCAAGTTCGAAGCTGGACTATATCGGTCTACGTATAGAAATAACCATTTTGGACACGTGTTCGAACCGAATTGACTCTAATATAGTATTTTCATTTCTAAGTGAATAGGGATTTTCGGTATTTTAAACATTTGGGACAGCCGATTTATTTATGAATTTATGTTACGCGTTCTCATCGGACAACAAATCTTTTTCTCTAACACAGTTGCCTGTAATTGGTTTTAGGTCATCATTGGATAACCAAAAATTATCAATTATCAGTATTGTATGGGTTTTGAAGTTATGGAGAATATTCCCCTCTAACATATTAGATATTTCATGGATTCCTTCGTTTTTTTTTTTCATTATATTAGAAGTTTCAGAACCACTTTCTATTATCATTAATGCCAAGTGAAAGTCAATATCCCTGTGGTGAAAGGAATTAAAAATTCGACCTGGCCGAGTACATTTTGAAACAGAATATAGTTAAGAACTTGTTCCAAATATAAGCTGCCAAACATTTTGGTTCACCAACTAAACCAATTGATTTTATTGATTTCAGATTTACATATTTTTTAAAAGTATTCTATGTAACCATGTTTATACTAACCATTGAAATTATACTAATTATTTTTTTATATTTAAAATATATTAATTCTCTATTTTTATTTTGTTTTCCATTTTTCAGAAAAATACCGATCGCAATTTATCCAATCAATTGGGACAAATGCAACGAGCCAATCGAAATCACAATGGTGGTAGTGGTGGCGGCAACAACAGTAACAACTACAAACATCATCGTTACTCGTGGGGTAGCGGTCACAGTTCGTCATCCCTGCACAGTAGTGCTGCCACCTTAGGCATTGGGTCGGGCAAAGATGATTTGTGGGCTGCCATACAAACCAACTACAATTATATTATGGACACAAACCTGTTGGATACATGTAAAGAGGCCAGATGTGAAATAGAGGGCGCTGCAAGTGTGTTGAATAATACAACGGAAACATGTTTGAAGGTGAGTTGATTTTATTGAAATATGTTTGATGGTGCGTTGGTGTTGGGGGTGAATGTTGTTCGTGGTGTCTAGAAGGTGAAATGAGGTGACAATGGCAGTAGTTTGAAAACCATTGTGGTTGTTGAATTTGCTATAAGGCGTAGGAAAAGAAATGTGGTTGATTGTAAAATTGCTTGCCTGCTTTTAGGCGTGATTTAAATTTGTTGCTTCAATGTAAGCTAATAAATTGATAATGTTTATCATCTTGTACAAATGTCGCACCTGAAAAAAAAAATAATACAATTAATCCAAGCTGAATACACAAATCAGTAACCAATACAATTTCTTTTTCGACGATTTTATGAAATAGTAATTTAAGTTGCTCCATATCTCTTCTGTATTGGATAGATATCGAAAAAGACTTTCGCTTGGATTGACTATTCGATTGACATATTCTCTTCTACATTTCTTTCCTTGTTTTTTTATCTCCCTCAGATGCTCGAAGAAAGTATTCCTAGTGTTGGTTCTTGTGAAGATCCCAAAGAATTACGCAAATGGCTCCGAGATATGGAACATAAATTGGAAAGTGCTCCATCCTTGTCAGAGGCTACAATGCTGTCCTGTGCAGAATTGCAAAAACATTTAACTGAACATTCGGTAAGTGGGAATGAATTCAATTATTTTTTAATTATTAAATTATTTTTTATGCTTTACATACCAAGTAAATCTTGCATATTTGTTATTGAAATATACAAAAAATTTATAAAATATTACGGGATTGTTCGTTTTCATAATTTTTAAACCATATAAATTATCTACAAATTATTTAGGTGAACATGCAGAAAAACTTCAAAATATTGGCTTTGACTATAGACTTCGATTCAAATTAAATGTTACGAATATTAATCCTTTGTACCAGAAGGAGAGGTCATCTGGCCATCTTCGTACTTAATCTGTGTTTGGTAAAAATAATGGGTTGTGCAAAGTTTGGTTCACATCGAACATCCCTTTCGCCTAATATTGAATTTATAAACATTGTGGGGGAGGTACCAGAAGGAATGGAAATTATTCCCATATTGGTAAAGATGAAGTTTGCTTCAAATCGGACATTCCATTCGCCTGCTATTGGATTTATAAAAATTTGTGACCATTTGTGGGAGAGGTACCAGAAGAAGTGGACCATTAGGTCCCATCTTCGGACATTATCTAGGCTGGGCAAAGATAGTAGGTTGTACAAAGTTCGGTTGAAATCGGATAGTCCGCTCACATGATACATATTATAAAATTTGTTTTTTAGCACAATTTTCACATTTTTCCATTTTGTGGGGGAGATACCTTAAAGAGTGTACCGATATTCCCCATCTTCAAACTTGAACTTAGTTTGGATGGAATATTACGATGTGCAAAATTTGGATCAAATCGGTTACTCCCTTCGAGAGCCATCGTGCGCACCAGTAAATCGACTTCAAATTGTCTGAAACGGATTTGGTGCAAAGAAACAAGGATTCTAAAACCAATATTTCGATTAGACCCATTTTTGCAGTATCGAAGTGTATATAACCTCATTAGCCACAAGGCTGAGGGTATAAAAAGAGCTGAGTAGACAAAATGTGACTGAAGAAGAGGTCCATGTGCACATGCAATACATGTGTCTGGTATCGTGATGTCAATTCGCACATAATAAGAATTGGTTGGTTAAAACCCCTCTTGTTTGCCTAGGCAGCTGTCGTTCTTCTGCTGCATTCACTTGATATTGGTCCATAACCTGGCTCACTGTTTCTGCCTGTATTTTAGCATTCTTGCTTGATATGCCTGCTGATGTAAGGAGTCTCCCTTGTACAATGGCAACTCTCTCTCTCTCTATCTAGATCTCAACGTCATTTCAATCATGCATGGGCGGCGGAATTCTATCAATGATAAGGAGCACCTCCTTTGTCGCAGTTATCAGGGCGGCATTCTGACACTTTTGAATACTTTTCTACTGCATAAAGCTTGCTTTATAAGAAGTGAATTATGTTTCTTTTTCAGCAGTGGCTTGTGAAAATTACCTAAATAAGATATCGAACGAAAATAGGAATTTTTGCAACAATTTCGGTGGATAAATAAAAAATACATTAAAATTTTTTGCACAATATTATAATAATATTTTCGCCCACTTTATAATGAAATGACGTTTATATAATATAATTATTAATATATTATGTTATATGTATACAGCAAAATCCAATTAACATATTCAGAAAAATATGACCCATATTTTGTATTATTCACGCTGTCTTTGTGTGATTAATTAGCTTATGATGATACAGTACAAACTCTATTTATGCAACATAGACAAAATTTTATTATTCTGACATATTTCCCGCGAAATTTTATTCACTTTCCTCTAATTCTATAATTTAAATTTAATTTTATCTCCGACCGCCAAGAATAACACAATGTTGTAGTTCTACAGACTATCCAGGTGGTTGTCAAGTTTATATCTTCCAGTTTCAATGTGAATGAGCGCGAAAGTAAGTAAAACATTCATCATCTTGGTTCTTTTTTTCCTCTTCAACTTGAGTTTCCCAGTTTTGAAAAGTCAAAAGTTTATCGCCGATTGCATGTCATACAGTTGAGAATTTTCACCGCTGTATTAGAAAATATACAAACACATACACACACAGCCGCTCAAATAAATGTACACAATTTAGATCAGTAAGTCAGTCAGGAGAAGAACAAAGGCGGCTTCGGCACAAACATAAAGAAAACAATTAACTCCAAGTTCGAAAAAAAGGAACAAAAACAAAAAGAAACAGAACTGCACAAATATGCTTGGTAGTTGGTTTTTTGTTCAGATAAGATTTTCACCGCCATGAAAGTGAGTTCAGAATTCAGTAGACTTATTGCAGATATTTTGCAAAGGAAAGTAAGTTATGGTGAATACTGTTCTAGTGGTGGTATAAAAATAATAGGAAAAACAAATGTTTAAAATGTTTGTGTTTCTTTATATAAAAACCAGTGAGCGGAGCAGTATAGTCGGACGGGGCCGACCATACGTTACCCTACACAACTTCCATGAAAATCTAACTTTCTGCGGTTGTATATTCTGAAATTGGGCAACATTTCGCGATAATTGCACACTTTTCACTGCAAGTTTTACTATTAATCAGTGCAGCGCCTCTAATTACTTGTCCAGATTCCCTTCACCGTGGGTTGTGTTGTGATGTTCGGCTTCCGACTCGAAAAGTACAAATAATTAAGTTTTCGGTCCACTTCGTCCTAAAAATTATTATCTGATCATCACCTAAGATTTTAGGCGTTGTCCTTGACCATAACTGGAACCTCATGGAACATTTCAAATCAACTCTATATTTTCGCCCTCCAATGTGGTAATAGGTTACCAAATAATATATGAATACGTAAGCACCTGTAAATATTTAAGTGTAACTCCCGCATCCGAGTACCTACGACAATATAATTGGTATCAATTTAAAGGTCAACCACTCCTCTTGGATATACTATCAACTTCTCGGGTCTATGTCCTTCAGTGGTAAATATATACGCTATAGAATACACCATTTGACCCGCTAAATATTGACCGATCTTTATCAAAACAGGCATGCTTATTCTTTGGCCCGATCCCCTTCTCCATGCAAAAATTCGACCAGAAAATCCTACAAAAATAAAGTTTTTGGTCCATATTATTCCCTTAATATTAGGCGATCTTTTCCAAAAACAATAGGGGTTACATACTTTTGGGGCTGCACAAAGCTATAATACCCTGACAAAATAGTTGTGTAGGTTATAAATATACTTTCTTTTACTCAAATATGACAATTCAGCTGTACATTAAATTCACCAAGTATTTTATGTTTTTATTTAAATATAAGGGAGCATATAATAATCAATTAGCTATTTTCTGACATATTCAGCTCATAATTGCTTTTATTCAGCAAAATAGTTAAGCATATTCTGTACATAACTTTTTTTTGCAATTTTATATATAATTCAGTAAAAAGTTGGGCTTCCATATACATTAATATTTAATCGCACATTAATATTTAATTTAATTATTCACCAAACGTAAAAATATTAAAATTAATCATTCAGCTAATTTTTGAAAAATTCAGCAAATATGCGTCATGTCCCAAATAGATATGTTATGTATAATTCAGCAAATAGAAAATGTTCTTATAATTTACTGTTTAGTTGTTATAATTATTAATCCCAAGGTAAAATAAGTGATTCAGCCACATTACATCTAATTCAGCAAATGTTTATGTATGCTACTTTCAAAATTTAAATACAACGGATCAGGCAGCAGCTAATATTGTACAGCTATTCTTTCTTACCACTTGACGCACAATTCTATACAAATTATTACTTCAGCAAATATTTTAAGTTGTTTTTTTCTGAAACATCAACTATATTTAGCAGCAATATATAAAAATGCATTGTATTAATACAATGCTTAATTCAGCTATATTGAATCTAATTCAGCAAACTAAAATATATATCAAGTAGCATGCTATAAGTTCTTCCGTTAAGTTGCCATATTTTTTTAGAAGTGCATTTAATTAATAATTCAGTTACTCCATATCAAATTTAGCAAACATGACATACAATTCAGCTGCATTTTTTCCATATTAGCAACTTTCATTTTAATCGGAAATTTTAAATAAAATTAAAACAAAAAAATCCAATCATATTTTATTTTCCAAAGAAGAGATCTCTTCTAATCATTGATAAGATTTAAAAATTCGTTTCATTGTTTTCTTGGCGATTTTCTACGGAATATGATTACGATTTATACTAAAACACACAGACACACAACAAGTGAAAGGGGTTTCTTGTTGGAAGTGTCTGTATGTATATATGGTGGTTTTTCATAAAAGCACGTACACAGTGTCATATTTAAATGGCAACAAAATTGAAAAAAAAACATTGAAGAAAATAAAAACATTAAACTGAAATATATTTATCTATTTAAAAATGTGGTGACCATTTTTGGTCTATGGATGATGGCAAGGCAAGGATGTACAAAAACAACAATGAACAGCACGAGATTTGTTTTTGTTGCTGCTGCTGTAGTTAGTGTACTTCTCGATCTGCTGATATTGTCTTGAAAAGTTATTAGAAATGTAACAAAAACTAATGGTGTTTTTTTTTTTTGGTTTTGGAACAAAAACTACTTTAAACAGAATTAAAAAGTGAAGGTGGACAACACGACGACAATGACGACAAACAGCAACAGCAACAACAACACAGATATGAACAAATGTCGGACTGTTTTTGTTTATGGGCTGTACTATTCAAGCGAACCATTTTGTTAGTTGCCAGCCATTGTTGCTCTGTTTTTTGGCAGCTACAATTTAGTGATCATTTTTCTGACAAAAGTATAGCCATAAACAAAAAAACATAACACAACAACAACAACCGTTAATGCAACAACAACAATACTAAATGACACAGAAGTTAAATTTGTATCAATAACGGAAGTGGTTTAACAATTTTTAGAAAATGTTTAACAAGAAACAAAAGCTGTAAATTTAAATTCTTAGAAATGGTTATTATTTGCTGAATTCGTGCTATTTTGTGGCTGAGTAAACAAGGTTCATAATATGCCGTTTCTTTTGCTAAAAAATTTTTCTTGTATTTTTGGTCCTTCTAATAAA